TAAGCTTGCTACTTTATTTATTTGAGGATTCGGATAAAAAAAAACTTAAAAAGGGAAAAAAATGAACATAAAAATGAAATACTGAAAAAGAAAATGAACGTTCAACGAAAAGTAGAAGGCAAAATTACTTTTTGATGTAGCTCAAAAAATGTTTTTTTCGCGTTTTCTCTAAATTGTCTCTTAGCCCAGAAAATGATATTTAATGATTTCAGTTTTTTTCATTTTCAGTTCATTTTGTATTATTTCCGTTCTCATTGATAGTTTTAGAAGTAAAACATTGATGCATATTTTTAATAACGAAAATATTTTTAGAAACATTCAAACATAACTTCTAAATTTCACCCCTTTGAGTAAAAGTTTTTCTAAAGTTAGTGACATAATAATTGAAGGTTTTTGTAGCACAATTCCACTTTGGTTCATTTTGTGACAGAGTGCCTTAAAGATTAGTCAGTGGGTTGCTGATATTGTCTGTTTTCTGGTGTCTTCTGTTTGTCAGCAGTTAAAGCTGGAAGAATACTAGTTTTAAAAGGGGAGATAAAAGACCTGTATTTTAATTAGTTAAATTGTAAGTAAGGCCTTTAATAGTGCTGAAAGCAGGGTTGCCAGAATGTAAAATTAAAAAATACAAAAACTTTATCTGAAAAAATACTACATATTTTTAAACGACATCTATAGTAGTTATTTGGTATATTAAATAATATTAAAAGGATAACACTATTATAGAGATTAAATATAAGGATAAATTACTAAGGATAAAATAATATTGACACGTTGAATGCCATGGGAGTCACCGGTGACCGGCGATCCCCGATTTTCCCGAAAGATTTCATATTTTAAAATTTATAGCATCACATTTTATTTTTCAATAAATATATATGCTTTCAAATGATTTTGACTACCATTACATTTGAATACTTTGGACATATATATATGATAGGTTTGCTAGCTTTCTAATACTGTTTTTAATTGTTGGAAAATTTTTTACGAAACACCAACATTCAATTTCATTGGATTTATTTTTCCACCAGGAAAAAACCTTTTTAAAAAGCGTATCACTTCACGTAAAATAATATTTTCAAGAAAAATTGGTGACTTATGATACATATAATTATCATCTATATATATATTTCTCTTACACGGCACCAAAAAAAAAGCCTCATTACAAGAATGCCCCGAATGGCAACGTTAGAAAATCGACCAATGATTGTTGCTAAAAATGTCACATGCCAAATCTAGCTGTGGAGGCTCAACATATAGAGCTTTTAAAAACGGAAACAATAACCAGAGTGAGCATTATCAGGTTGTTCAATTCAGATTCATGCCCTAAAAACATGATAATATTTAATTTAAACTCAATTAGGAATTAATTAATTAATTGAAGTAAGAATGCTTTAAAAGGCCGCTGTTGAATTGATATTTTTCTACTGGGAGCTACCTAAACGTCTAAGTGTTTGTATTGAATGCATTGAATTTTTTTATATTTCGCGTTTATTTATGCATTGAATTTTCACGCTTTAAAATGCAGAATATTAGTGAAGCTGCTAGGGCTTTTGAACGTAATGAAAGAAAACGTGTTCGAAGAGCCCAAAGAAAGTGTTGAGGAATGTTATGGAAGACGTAGATTGCAGAGATCAAGTGCAATAATAACTGTTCACGATGTAACAGTAGATGTCGAAGAGTATAATATTGGCTCAATGACGGAACAATGTAGTTATTGTAATGCTTACTTTTGGGCCAAAGAAAGAAAATCTTCTGGCAAATATACGAAATGCTGCCACGATGGAAAAATTATTTTGCCTACACTAATGGACATTCCCGAGTTGCTGCAAAAATTATTAAGTGATAATTCGATTAAGGCTCGAAATTATCAAAATCATATCCGGGAATATAATTCTGCTCTTGCTTTTGCATCATTTGGAGCATACATAAAGCCACCTCCTGAAAATAGACCGTATTGTTTTCGGATTCATGGTCAAATTTATCATATGGTGTCACCTTTGTATAGCAATGATCAAAATAATGCTGGATACGGGCAGCTGTATATTTTTGATTCAACTGAAGCTACCAACAAACGCATTGAAAACAATACTGGATGTTTACGCTCTGTAATGGAACAATTAGATGATCTATTGGGGCAAATTAACCCTTTTGCTGCATCATATCTTCAGATGCATCAGTTTATTCAATTAAACCCTGCAACAGATGTAAAATTAGTTTTTATGGAGGATCCCTCCTCAGATTTGAGACGGTATAATGCTCCCACATCAAAGACAGAAGTTGCTGTCATATTCGTTGGAGACAATGGGGAACCTCCATCTAATCGAGTTTTGTGCATCTATCCTGTTGCAGACTCTTGCAAAACTATTTCTCCTAAGAATCCATGCATTGATCCAATGGTCTATCCACTTCTCTTTCCACAAGGAGATTGTGGTTGGCATGCTGGAATGGAGCATGTACTGCTAAGCGTATCCGTGTAACCTAATTACAGTATTATGCTTGCAGACTTGCTATCCGCAGTGAGTTCAGCCTTCTTCATAGCAGTGGAAAGCTCTTTCAGCAGTTCATCGTTGATGTTTATGTCAGAACAGAAGGTTCAAGATTGAACTATTTAAGATTGAACCAGAAAGATTTACGTGTTGAGTTATATCAAGGTCTTTTGGACGCTCTTCAAAGTGAAGCTCACTCAAACAATGTAAAAATAGGGAAGTTGATCATCTTGCCATCAACCTTTCAAGGATCTCCTCGCTCCATGCAACAAAATTATCAAGATGCCATGGCAATTGTTTGAAAATTTGGGAGACCAGATATTTTTCTAACTTTTACATGCAATCCAGCATGGCCAGAAATAGTGAGGGCTCTACAAAGACACTAGCGTCCTGAAAATAGACCCGATATCATTGTTCGTGTCTTTAAATTGAAATTGACAGAACTTTTGGATGATATTTTGAAGCGTCATGTATTTGGTAAGGTTATTTCATTTATTTATGTTATTGAATTCCAAAAACGTGGGTAACCACATGCCCATATGCTGTTGACATTGGATTCTGCTGCTAAAATTCGAACTAAAGATAATATCAACAAATTTGTGAGTGCAGAACTGCCCAATAAAACTCTTAACCCTAGACTTTATGATATTATTACAAAATGTATGATTCATGGTCCCTGTGGCATACTTAATCCAAATTCTCCTAGCATGAAGGAGGGTTTGTGTTCTAAAAATTTTCCGAAAGATTTTCAAGAGACGACTCAAGAAAATGTGAACGGTTATCCAGTTTACCAGAGAAGTATTACAGAACCTATCAAGGTAGGTAAATATGATATTGATAATCGTTGGGTTGTGCCTTATAACCCTTGGTTATCAAAGAAATTTAATGCTCACATCAATGTTGAGATTTGTGCTTCGGTCAAAAGTGTGAAATATCTTTACAAGTATGTTTACAAAGGCCATGATGCTGCATCTATTAAATTGCAGCTAAACGATGATGTAAATCACGATGAGATTTTGACATTTCTAGATGGACGCTATGTCAGTGCTCCTGAGGCAATGTGGCGGCTAAATGAATTTCATATGTCTGAAAAATCCCA